TGTGAGCAAGTTGTTCATGTAAATCACCCATCATGAAATGGGCAAACGTGTTAAAAGAATCTGCAGAAAAAATTCTTTGAAGCCAAACACAGCCTCTTGCAACAACGCCAGCTGGTACACTGATGCGTTCCTAAAACACTTACCTAGCAGAGGAAGCCTGTACCACAAAGGGCCTGCCCGCCAAAAAATAATTTCGAAGTTTTTTGGGGGTCCCTCCTCATATATTTAAAAGAATTCAAGTGTGATTTTTGAATCTTTGTTTTGTTTTTGTTATTTCTTGCTTCTTTTATCTCAATTTCGGATTGTATTATAATAGATGTGGGGTTTAGCTGATAGATGTTTTATGCTCAAACTAAGATACTAAAAAAAAAAAAGTGTTGGCTTTCAAGTTAGAATAGAAATAGCACATATAACTGGTCTTTAGAATGAGAAAATTTTGATATACAAACATCCTCTGAAATGGATGCTTTGGCTTTTTATGTGACAGAGGAGTTCTGGCATAAGTGGTTAAAGGGACTCCCAAAAGAATGAATGGCTAGTTTATGGTGGAAATGGAGCCAGAACCATATCCCTAAGTTCTTTGCTAATTTTTTCTTTTACTGGACCACAGGATTCAAACTCAGATTACATTTCCATTTTCAACTTGTTTGTTTTATTGCAATATTTCAGTGTTCCTGCTTTATAATACATAGCCTTGGAAGCTTTACATTTCACAATATGTGCTCACTTGGGTTTCATGTGCTTCAAGGTGGGCTAATTAGTGTACTGCTAATATTTGTGGTGGTGGATTGAGCTGAAAGAATGCCAAGTGAAGGATATTTTCTTTTTTCATATATCCTTGTCAAGGATCTGTGAGGGCAAAAATAAAATAAAAACAAATCTAAGAATGTTTAATTAAACTGATTGCAAATATGTATATTTCAATCTGTTTTTTGGGGAAGTCCAACCTAAATTCTCTACTGTTTTTGGTTTGCATCCGATGACTATTAAATAACTGGGTGATTTTTAGTTTCCAGAAAGTGTTTTAAAAAGTTAATAGGGACTGTTTCATTTATTCTTTTTGCATAAAAGATTTTTTTTTTCTTTTAAGACGGGGTCTTGCCCTGTCCCTTAAGCTGGAGTACAGTGGCATGATCTTGGCTCATAGTAGCACCATCCTCCTGGGCTCAAGCAGTCCTCCTCTGTTAGTCTCCTGAGTAGCTGGAGCTTTATGTGCAAGCTACCACACCCGGCTGCTATAACAAAATTTTTGGTAGAGGCAGGGTATTGCTATATTGCCCTGGCTGGTCTTGAATTCCTGGACTCAAACAATCCTCCCCACCTCAGCCTCCCAATGTGCTGGGATTAAAAGGGTGAGAAAGCCACTGCACCCAGCCAATGGACAAGCTCTTAAAGTGGGTAGGAGATGTATAATAAAGGCATTTGCATCAGCTTCATTTTGTAAATGAGGGAACAGATCATATTATGAGTGTCCAAGGTGGAATCTGGAGTTCTTCTCAGCAGCTCTGGCTCTTGACATTACACTTACCTTCTTCTGCCACAAAATGCAGCCTGTTGCTAAACTAAAGTTTTCAATGGGCCCTTGATTTAAGTGAGCAAAACACTTAACCGTTCTTACAATAAGCTTCAGCAGTGTACTTGAGAGTTCTTACTTTTACATTTGAGGTACAGGAATAATTTCTGACAGCGTCTTAACCTTCAGCCTCCTTTTTCTTCTTCTTTCTTCATATTCACTCTTAATTTTCTACACTTCCTATTCTCCTTTGTTTATCTGGGGATATAGTCAATGTGCCTTGTACAGTATATGGATACCTTTGTTTCAATTCTCAAAAAAGTGATTTTTTTTTTGTTACTCCCAAATAAGATTAAAGCTGCTAGTCACTGGCTTTTAAATTCTTTTTATTTTTAATTTTTTTAGTTGGAGTCTCATTCTGTTGCCCAGGCTGGAGTGCAGTGGCATGCTCATAGCCACCCCAGCTTCTACCGCTGGGCTCAGGCGATCCTTCCGCCTCAGCCTTCCAAGTAGCCAGAACTACAGGCGCGGACCACCACACCTGGCTAATTTTTTGATTTATTGTAGAGATAAGGTCTTGCCAAGTTGCCCAGGCTGTTCTGTAGCCCGTGGGCTCAGGCAATCCCTTCACCTTGGCCTCCCAAAGTGCTGGGATTACAGGCTTGAGCCACCACTCCTGGCTGGTTTTTAAATTCTTAAGCCAGGTGGCGTGACTGCAGCCCCATCTACTTGGGAGGGTGGAGCAGGAGGATTGTTTGAACTCAGGAGTTCAAAGCTGCGATGAGCCATGATTGCACCACTGCTCTTCCACCTGGGTGACAGACTGAGACCCTATCTCTATTTTTAAAAAATGTTTTTTTAACCAATATCCTGTTTTGTTGTTGTTTTTAACCTTCCTCTTACCTTATTTTTTTAGTATCTTAAGGTAGAAAGAACCATTAAAAAATACCTAATTCACTTATCATCCAGTGGAATGTTTCACATACATTCTATCTTGTGCAATGATCTCCTATTAAAGCTTTTTCTAGAATCATTACTACTTATTAACATTTACTTTTCTTTCTCCTTTTGACAATCGCTCCTGCTTCCTTTAAAACAAACTAAAATTAAGCCCATTGACTCTCTCTGCTTCTCCCTGGTTTGTTTCCTAAGTGTTTCAGATTGTGAGTACCCACCTATAACCTTGACTATTAGTAGTTTTTATGCTTGTTTTGATTTCTCTTTCATCTATATTTGTGTTGTTTCCCCCTACTTAGTATTTCTGGCAATTCATAGCCCATGAGAGATACCGTGCAATTAGTACACATTTGGTAATCAGAAGATATTTTGTAAAAGTTGACCTACAGTGATGAGTAAAAGCTGTTGTTTCTCCTGTTATTATATATGTAGCTCAAAGACATGACATGCCAGAATTACAAATCTGAGAGATCTTTGCTGTTCACTTTTACAGTCAGAATAGGGAGAAAACAGTAAATTGCTGCTATGTCTGGAAGGAGCAAGCAAAACAAACAACATCATACTCTGTAAAAGTGGTTTTATTTTAATAATATGGGTAACTTTCTTTTCTTCTTTTTGAGTTGGAGTCTTACTCTGTCACCCTGGCCAGAGTGCAATGGCACAATCCCAGCTCACTGCAGCCTGGACCTCTTGGGCTCAGGCAATTCTTCCGCCTCAGTTTCTTGAGTAGCTGGGACTATAAGCACGTGCTACCATGTCCAGCTAATTTTTTAATGTTTTGTAGAAATTAGGTTCCTATGTCCCTAGGCTGGTCTCAAACTCCTAGGCTCAAGCAGTCATTTACCTTGGCCTCCTAATATTCTGGGATTATTGGCGTGAGTCAGCCCAGCCAATTTTTATAATTAATAAGTGCTTTTGAAACAGTGGTTTCAGATTTTAATTTAGCAGTGGCTTACTTTTTTTCCCCACATAATCTTAAATGACCCTACTACTGTACAGGTTGAGTATTCTTAACCTGAAATGCAAAATTCTCCAAAATCTGAAACTTTTGCCATCATGATACTCAAAGGAAATGTTCATTGGAGTATCTTGGATTTCAGATTTTTGAACTAGGGATGCTGAATTGGTAAATAAAACACATATATTCCCAAATCCTAAAAATTCCAAAGTCATCTTCTGGTTCCAAGCGTTTTGGATCAGGAATACTCAACTAGTATCTAAGACTTAAGATTGGGCCTTCCAGTGTTTAAATATCCACTGATTAGGGCAAATACCCTGTTGCTTTTGTAGAACTACTAAAATACCCCGTAGGGATATAGGGTTTCCTGGAACATGGTTTAAAAACACTTGTTTTTAGAAAAGTGGAGATACTGAATTTTCCCTGGTTGATTTGGGAAGATGAAAAGATTGTTAGACTGGCTCCTATATGCATCCTATATAAACTGTTGTCATTATATTAACATCACTTTCATTCTGTCTTTGTTTTTAATGTCAAATGGAGCTTAAATCAATTAGAATGCTTAGCCTAGACTATCATGCCAAATGCCATACAGGGGGGAAAAAAAGAAAAGAAAAAAAGTAAAATAGAGCCCACAAGATGCTGAAAAGAAATTTTGTTCTTAACCCTTCCTCTAAACTTATAAAAAATTTTAGATCCTTTTCTGGAATTGTTTTTCCTACTGAAAATGGAAAAAATTAATCAAGAAGGAGAAAACTGGATCTTCATCTTTCATTAGACCATCATCTTACGGTGTTTTTGTGAAATTAGGTTGTGGTGGTCTCTTAGGCTATTTTTTAAAAAATCAGAAATGGGTTTTCACTTTGATTTATTATATATGATTATTGTGTGACAGTTTGCCATTTATATCACCCCAGCGCAGTTGATAGCTCTCTTGTGTCTATAACATTTCATTGTCCCTATCTTTGGAGAAGAATACTTAAAGGGTCAGAATAAAAAATGAAATTGCATGCTATGTAAGAGAATACGAGTATAGTGCATTTAAAAGTGACTCTTATCTTCAGCTGAAAAATATATATTTTTAATATGAACAGATGTTTGAGAAACTTGAAACTACTGTATAGTAATATTTTGAATATCATCACTCTTATACTTTTCCTTTCTATCCTGAACCATGTAGTAGTTTTTTTCCTTGTAGCACTATTTTTGTCCCTTGAGTAGATAGCTTTTCACCTGTGATATTTCCTTTTCTCAAGTTGCACTTTTAATCCACTGCTTTTTTATAGTTTGGTGTTCCCAATGCTTCCTTTCCTATTGTATTCAAAAGCTCTGAGTTTTCAAGGGGCAGATTTTTTTTTTTTAAGCCTGTTATTTAAAATCAGGTTATACAAATTCCCGAGAATTAGATCTGTTTATAAAGTCTTCATAATAAAGAGTTATTATAAACTCTTGGGAGTTTTTAACCTATGAACAATTTAGGATGTGAGAAATGAGGCTGTGAAGTCACAGGAGCCGAACCTGGTGCAGCTGTCAAAGGGTGAATTCAGAATGGAAGAGAAGTACAAGTAGGAAATGTTTAGGAAGGAGGAAGTGGCCTTCACCTCAGAGAGGAAATATCAAGGAAGGAGCTACGTAGTGTTGGAGGTGAGTATAAGCACAGGCTTTCTTTAGGTTGTTTGCATATCTTCCTCAGCTGACATAAATGTCATTTTTCCCCTGGTAGGCCAACACATACCCTGCACCTTTTTTTTTCTCCAAGTCTCAGTTTAAATGTCACTTCCTCAGTGAGTGACTATGACTCTAAAATAGAAAGGAGCTGCCATTCTCCTTGTTACATCAGTCTGTTTTAATTTCAACACAGCACTTATTGTTCAATACTGTATTACTTTCACGTAGCACTGCAGCACTTCTTACTCAGTACTTTCTTTCTTAATACTTATCATATGCTTGGTTTTCTTCTTCCCTCTTCTTCCCCCTCCTTGTCTCCCATTAGCGGGTATAAGTTTAATTAAATGCAAGGAGTCTGTCGGTTGTGTTTATTGCCCTATCCCCAGTCCCTGAACTAGAACTTGTACTTAATCCCTGGTTAGACTGAGGGCAGGACTGTCTTATCTTTGTAGCCCAAAGGTTATATAGTTCCTGTCAAGTTGGATTAATTAGGCTAATATTATTGAGAAAAATGAGTTAATATTAATGAAAAATAGTATAATTTTATATGTGAACACATTAGTTGTTTTTCCTCTAAATAAAAAGAAGCACCAGTCTTAGCAGTAGCTGAGCCAAGTGTAATACAGGGATGTCTGGGTAAAACTTTGATGCCAGAGGGCTGTCTCAAGGTTTCTTTGTTTCTGCTACATACAGATATCAAAAGGTGATTATTTTACAAAGAGAAGCTCTTCGATGACTTTTAAAAATATTTGTTTAAAAAATAAGAAGCCACAGAGAAGAGCTGGGATATGGTGATATGCACTGAAATGAAGGTATTCCTGCCAAATATTGGGAACAGCTCTTAGATACTTTCTTAGAAGATCATTTTCTTTCTTTCTTTTTTTTTTTGAGTTGGAGTCTCACTCTACCACCCAGACTAGAGTGCAGTGGCATGCTCCTGACCACTGCAGCCTTGACCTGCTGGGCTCTGGTGTTCCTTCCGCCTCAACCTTCCAAGTAGCTGGAACTACAGGCGTGCGCTACCACGCCCGGCTAATTTTTTTAAATTTTATTGTAGAGATGAGGTCTCACCAAATTGCCCAGGTGGGTCTCGAACCCACGGGCTCAGGCAATCCACTCACCTCAGCCTCCCAAAGCGCTGGGATTACAGGCCAAGCCATCGAGCCCGACTAGAAGATCATTTTCTATGTAGCTAATGTTGCTTTTCCAGATGGACTTTCTGAAATAGGACTATTTTGCCCAAGGTTTAACTTGAAGAAAATGATAGTCATTCTTGGGATAGAAATCTCAAGATTTTTCCATTTGAGTAATTCTCAATAAAAAAAAATTAGGTCTGTCTTCAGATTGAGCCATTTCTGAAGATACAGTTTTCCTATTTCCTGGAAATTTATTTCAAATATCACATTATTATATATCAAATTAGCCTGGAAATATATTTCCACTAGGTTAAGCATTTGAAGCAATTCCATATACTGAGTTATAATGAGGGAACTTGGGGCAAGTTGCTAGGAGAAGCACTATCAATTTTAGTGAAAGATAAAAGCTTAAGGAATTATATTCAGTATTTCCTAACAATTCATAATGGTGTCTAATTTGGGGAAATTTCTGTGTTTTGCTGGCTCATTTCTTATCTGTTCCTTAAAGAAATGATTATGAAGTCTGTCCTGTTTTAACATAGCTGCTATATTCCTTCAAGATGAAATGTATTGACTTAACTTCAGCTAATGGGCTTGGCCACCTGTAGTGATGAAACTCTTCAGAAAGTTAAATATGTTGTGCATACATTAATACAAATATTCTCCTTTCCCCCTGCTTTATTCCATTGATAAGTAAAGATTCCAAATTACTAACAAATGAAGTCACTTCTATGTGTCATCTTTAAGATTTTTGCAATATGACTGATTTGGAGTCTTGCATTTTTATTACAAATCTAGGGATTTTCTGTAGTAACATTTCAGGATGCATGATCTCTCCTTTATGTATGTAATCAATTTTTTCCCCATCTGGACTTTTGATGTGGGTTTCTGAGTGTGTGTGGCATGAGGTTTTCTATATAAATATAAACTTTATTTGTATTATCTGTTGTTTTCTCATTTTCAGTGTTTCTGCTTATATACACTATCTCATTATGCTGAGTTTTTCCTTCTTAATGCCTTTTCTCATACTTTCTGCTGGTTATCCAGGCCTCGTACACTTCCCTCTCAACTGCCTGGCTTGTTGCATCTTTTCTTTGAGGCTCATGCCAAAGCTATGCTTCATTAATTTGAATTCCATTTCATAAATGGTGGTCTGGTTCAGAGATGAGAGGAGGTGTGAGACATAGCCTTAGCCCTTGGAAAACTCAGGATTAAGTAAAAGTGAGGATGGGACTTGATGGTAGCAGATATATTAGGATTAGCAATGAGAAAAAGATATTAGGATACAAAGAGGAAAAGGTGAAAGAAGTGAAAAGTATTGGCAGAAGGCTCTCCAGAGGAGGTGTTATTTGTGTTGGACTCTGAGGGGTGAATCTGGAGGATGTAAGCAGGTGGTCCACATCTGCCCCACTAGCTAACTGTATTTAGTGTGTCTTTAAAATTCTATGAAAGTTAATTAGACAATTATATTATGTAGCTATTGTTCATTATTGTATAGAAAACAATTGGGTTTTTAGAATTGTATTTTAATTTTTAAAAAATCAACAAGGTAAAACCAACTCAACACAATTCAAAAGTAACTGATATTATCTTTAATTCTTTTCAAGGAAATGGAATAAGTAATAAATACAAAGGGAAAAACTTTTTTGTTGTTCTTTGGGAATAATCTGTTTTGAAGTAGGCTCAATAGATCCAATGGAGAATCTGTGTGTGTGTGTGTGTGTGTGTGTGTGTGTGTGTGTGTGTGTGCACGCACGTGTGTGTGTGCATGCACGTGTGTGTGTACAGGTGTATGCTTATAAAAATAACAAAAGCAACCAGGCTCGGTGGCTCAGCCTGTAATCCCGTGCCTTGGGGATTGCCTGAGCCTGCGGGTTCGAGACCCGCCTGGGCAACTTGGCGAGACCTCATCTCTAAATAAATCAAAAAATTAGCCGGGTGTGGTAGTGCACACCTGTAGTTCCAGCTACTTGGAAGGTTGAGGCAGAAGGATCGCTGGAGCCCAGCATGTCGAGGCTGGGGTGGCTGGGAGCGGCCACTGCATTCCAGTCTGGGCGACAGCGTGAGACTCCAACTCAAAAAAATAAAAATAAAAATAACAAAAGCAAAACCCAACCTTTGGTTTTTGTTCTTTTTTAAATGTTCTAACTGTAAAGGCTTAGGCCATGTTTAGTGGTAGTGCGGTAAGCTACCGTCTGGTGCTCAGACCTCTAGACTACAGCCCTAGACTTCCAGATGCTCTCACAGAACTGTTTGGGGCAGACCCCTGTTTTCACCATTCCTTGGGGCTCTGATGTGGTGGAACTGAAGTGGGGAGTGAGGGATTCCAAATACTCAACTTGGAAGGGCCATTTGGACAAAGCGGTGGTAACAACCAGTCTGGTGTGTTTCCTTTCCAAAAGGGCTCTGCACAGTAAATAAAGCAAAACCAATACTTATCAATGGACAACTAGGTCATGTCCTTAGCAAAAGTATTCAGATGGGCATAAATCATAGTGTCTAAGTAGACAGATAGTAGAGATATTTTGGAGCAGAATCTGCCAGCTGTTTTCCTGAGGTTTAGGGCAAAAACTTTTTGCCTAATGACATTTCTAAAGCCAAAATGAAAGTCTTATGGATTTGGCAGAGTTTTGTTTTGGTTTTAGTGCTAAAAAACCAATCCTATTAATTAAATTTATTGTACATATATATGTAATTATACAATCTGTTATATAAGCACAAATTTATTCATCTAAAGATCATTTATTTTTCTGTACCAACCATGGCTCTTTTTCAAATCTTTTTCTTCTAAAGAAGAATATTAAAATTTTCAATACGTAAGAATTTTTAATAAGTAAGAATTTGACTTGCTCTGTTAGTCAAATCATGACCTTTTCTCCCTTTCCATGTTTTTCATTTTTGTGTACATTTTTTCTAACTAAAAATTAAATAGGTTAATGGTCAATGTATATATTCAGCATCATATTATGTATTATCTGTTTGGATCTATAGTGTGCCTGTTATTTTGAAAAAGCCCAATTGTGTTAGGCATGAATTTTCAGTATTTTGTCCTGATAGACCCACATGGTACATGAGGCTACTTGGACAAAGAGAATTTTGAAGATGTCTCCCAGTTAGAACCTTGGAGTACTTAGGTAGTAATGTGTAGAAAGAGAGGAGCTGTTATTTATGGCTATAGAATGTTAGTTTCAAAATTACCTTAGCACTCTTCAGACCCAATTGATTAACTCGATTACTGAAAATGTGGTACTATCAGAATCAGCACCAGTAACACACTGGGCACTTAGCTTCCAAGAAAAGACTCATCTGTGGCAATACTTTCTATCACCTGGACCATTATTTTTTAAAAGTATATGTTGATTGTAGGAAGTTTGGAGAAGAGTTTGATTGACTGATGTCAACTCACCTCTGCTATTGGGGAAGCCACTTCTTTGACAGTAGTAAATCAGTGAAAGGTAGCATATATCTTTAAAAGATTGAATTCAACAAACTTTTGTTGAGTACCTATTATTTGGCTTCATATTAATGGGGAGTTACAGATATGAATAATGATGTGATTGCTGACCTCAAGGGGCTCAGTCTAGTGGAGGCGTCTGAGAGGTAAATGACTGTTATCTACCAACCTGTTAAGTGCAACAAGACAAGCATGAAAGAAAAACAAGGAAGATGCTCTGAAAGAGCTAACATCCAGGCTAGATTTTGACAGAGAAATAAAGCTTTCAAAGATTTCTACTAGATTAATATGCAATAATGCCTATGCATATAATAAAATATTAGAATTAAAAATACAAATACTAATTCACCCATTTTGGTGTCACTTTAGAATTTTTGATGGCTCTTTGAAGGTGAATATTCCTTTAGTAACATCTGAAACTTGACCTTTTCTTACATAGATCTTAAGGATGACCTGATTCTCAAATAATCAAGAGGAAGAATGAATTGACGACTTTAGGATGCTTAGATCTCATAAACTTCACAGTGGCCAGTAATCATAAAGAAGGGACTCTCAATACAGCAGTGTTGCTGAGTGACAGAAGGTGATCTCTCCTGAACATGGTTCTACCAGTTTAAGAATTGTTTTATATCTAATGTACTATATCTACAGGCTAAAATGTTCCTTAGTTTTAACTCTGGTTTCTTTTTTTAGAAGTTAGAAACTGATGTTCTGGCCTGGTTTTTTTTTTTTTTTTTTTTTTTTTTTTTTTTTT